CTGGGCCCGGTTGCATAAAGCTCTCTTAAGATAAGAGCATCCGTAAGTATTGTTCCAAAACAATAGGAAATTGTACTAAGACAATACTTACGAGTGTTTTTTAGATTCTTAATCTTAAGAGAGCTTTATGCAACTGGGCCCTGGCTCTGGGTATAGCTTGTGTTGTTTCAATATATCCTCCGTTATCCTCAGGCCCAACATGGCCTTATAGTGAATATACTTTACTCAGACTGACCGCTCAGACTGTCGACGCGCATGCGTTATAATAATCTAATTTTGTTTGTATATATCCTCTATTATCCTCAGGCTCACCGCCCACATGGCCTTATGGTAAATATACCCTTCTCAAGCCCAAGACAGGATGTCCTGCAGGATGGGATGACAAGGGATATATTTACCAAGACACAATAAATAAAAATCCGAGTAATAACAGATCACAAACTTTACACATCGATGGAAAAGTTGCTCGCAGTAATGTGAAGAGACATTTTTGCAGCAAGACAAACACAGACGGTAAAGTTTGGCCATCAGGTAAATCTGTATATAGCAGCTAGCAGTGTTTATTCACGTTCCCGTATGCTAAAAATTATGAAATAGCTTGAACCACGGAAGGCTAGTATCAGTATCAGCTAAAGATGGATGGGTTACATGCATTCCCAAAAGACWAAAGCATGATCAAGATTATTTTTGCTTSCAAARGATGCTAATGAGAAATCTTTTGTTGAATATTATCAATATGGCCTCGATGGCGTAAAGTGCAATCGTAGAATAGGGAGCTTACTATTCAAATTTTAAACCTCATAACACAGAGTCATTTTGTTTTCCTCACTCAAAGCCCCGACAAAATGTGATACTCGGAAATAATACTCGTTCACGATATGTCGATATCCACAACAACCTCGGCCTTCTCATTTTGGCAAAACTTTTTTGTATTTCATTAAAATCTCTCGAATATTAGTAACATTGAAGAGTTTAACAAATCTCAGAACTCTGTCGTTTTACGTTTTTGAATTTCGACATTTTTAGCGGGAAAATGACGTACTCAATTTTAGCGGAAAATCGAAATACTCCTCAATGGAAAA